GTCCGCGCAACGGGGCTGCCAAAAGAGCCGTCGCTGTTTAGGAAGCTGAGAAAGCCGTGGGTGACTAGTCCCAAATTGACTCACAGTGGAATGCCACTTGCAGGAGGCTGCAGAGGGAGTTTTGGTCGTAGTCGGTCGATAACATTACCCAGAATTGGACTAGCAATATCTCACCTGTAGAGCTCAACCAAGCCAGTGTCTGACCCGCCTTTATCTAGGCGGCCAAGGGTACCACTTGCAGAAAAGTGCCTCCTGACCTCGGTCTTAAACGCACTTCATTGTTATTTCTGTTTGCGTCATCCAGTTTGTGACACATCCTGAAGAAGGTCATTGTACCGACTTTGGCAATATCACCACGCAAATATCGTCAATACACTGGACTATGTCACTAGTTAAAGGGGTGCCCATTCTAATCAATTTTGAAGAACCTCAGCAGCTCTACATTTTTCTAAAGCTATGACGTATGACGTATCTTGTTCTCCGCCTCTGGGCCCCAAGACCACATGAATGTTCCAGTGAAGAACAGAATTTCTGCTTAGCAAATTGGAAAAAACCCTGAAGATTCTGCCAACAAAGGAATGGTTGATATAAGGCTAAGTAACTTAGTGAGACTTAGTCATTTCTGCATCGGCCATGAATGCAACAAAGACAGACAACAAAAAATGAATACACAACAGTGACTATTATGCAGGAAAGTCGAGACAGGCTGCAGAGAAAAGGCCATCTGTTCTGCTCTGTAACGCAACACAAAACATGATCCGGACCTGCAAGACGGAGCCCCGGTGTCAAAGACGGGAGACAGAGGCGATAGCTAACCCAGACGCTGGGATTGGCGTCCTGGCCAGGCGGGCACTCTGGGGGCAGCTAGCACGTGTTGGCAGTTAGGACCATTCCAACGAGTTCTGGCTGCCAGCGCAGAGCTCCCTTCGCGGCATCTGCGTCTCGATCTGCCCTCCGCTACGCCAGACTACTCGAGCGGGCTTCCGGGATTAAGGGATTAGGTTCGTCTTTGCAGAGATGGGGAATTAATAGTGAGGGATGGAAAAGAAACATGACATTATACAGCACCATGTTCTGCTGGAACTGATTCAGCAAGTCATTCACATCCCAATGATATTTACTTCATTTCGGCAAATTAGAAAGTTCAGTGCAGCCACTTGCAAAGTCCATTCTACCATTCAGTGTGGCAGGTTTGGACCTGTCTCAGCTGCTACAGATCTCTTACACCCCCGAAAGCAAAGGGGCACCCATGGGTGGCATGTTCACTAGTGGCTTTGAGTGGCATCCCAGGGCACAGCAGTCATGAGGACGCAACCGGCCCCGCCCCCAAACGCGCACGGATGTCTCGAAGACAGACCGCGGCAAACTTCGAAGTCGAAAAACCGCTCTCCAGGATGTTTTGGAACATTCAAGTTTTGGAGGGCTCCACCAGTGACGGGGAGTGACTGCAGCAGGCAGACAGTGACACCTTGAAGGGAACTGACCCACGAACAGAACCCACTGCAGCCACAGAGTGAGTGGGATGCATGAAGTGGAGAATCATTCAGAAAACTGCTCTAGTCATCAAATGAAAAATGCTGCAGCACCAGCTTTATCAAAGAAGCATCAGATGATGATGTTTTAAGATGGAAATATATCATATTGATTCTTAAGCATGTATAATTTAATACTATACAAAAAAAAACTCTTATCAGAGGCATTATTTCTTTACCAATAAAATCCGTGCTGCACAAGACAAATTCTTCTCTCACCCTGGCAATACTTGAAAAGACCTCCGAACTACTCAACTGATTTTAATTCTTAATTAAAACGCTGTTCTTTATACCCCGACATACAGTACACCTTTGCTGCTATGGAGAAATCTGGCACAACTGGGGTAGAACATGGAATTCTTAACTATTAAGAGGTTAATGATTCAGATACCTTTGAATGCAGTGCAAACTCATAACTTTTTTAGGCCTGTAAGAGATTAAAGATCAGTTTCCGTTCTTAAAATAATTCACATAAGAACAATCAAGCACTTTAAATCGGCAGACTACAGTATATCTCGGGATAATATAACCGGAAATGAAGAATTCAAATTGCAGGGCAATGACTTTCTATATGTAACTCAATAGCTGGAACACACTGAAGATTTCCACAGGGAGAAGGCTTCAGATATGCCACTAGAGATCCGTTT